ATCAGATACTTTTATCGCATTTTCAATTGCCTGCGACGAAAGTACAGACGTGTGTGGTGTGGCTCAACTCGCTGTTTTTTTTTTCGTGCTGTTAATCAAGAAATGAATATTTATGAAGAACTACTGGAATTGGTGCCTTTACATGACACAACGACTGGGGAGGATATATTGAATGCTGTGTATGAACTGCTACAACGGTATAATTTGAATTTATCAAAATTGTCTTCTGTTGCAACTGACGGGGCTCCTTCTATGACAGGAATAAATAATGGCTTCATTAAATTATTACAGACCAGAATTAAGGAGACATACAAAGACGTACCAGATTTTCACCACGTTCATTGTATAATACACCAAGAAATCCTACGTTCAAAAGTGATAAAGATGGAAAGTGTGTTAAAAGCAGTAAAAAAAATTATTAACTTTATAAGATCACGTGGTTTGAATCAGCGACAATTTACTGCGTTTCTACGCGATTTAGAAAGTGAATACGCGGGCTTGCCTTATTATACGGAGGTGCGGTGGCTTTCGTGTTCTATGGTTCTCGATCGATTTTGGAAACTAAGAGAGGAAATACGACTTTTCATGGAAATAAAAAACCAAGATGTCAGTTTGCTGTCCGATGTATCGTTTTTACAAGATCTTTCTTTTATAGTAGATATCACAAAACACCTATCAGAGCTAAATACAAAGTTGCAAGGATCACGTCAAATTATTACAGACATGAACGATCAAGTAAAAGCTTTCAAGTGCAAGTTATTACTGTGGGAAAAGCAGTTAGCAGTTAATAATTTGTCGCATTTTCCGACATGCAAGGACTTCCAAGAAAATAGTAGTGTCGAAATTTCGTATAATAAATATGTCGAGAAAATTAGAAGTCTACAGGCCGAGTTTGAGAGACGTTTTCAAGATTTTAGACTTCAAGATGCAAATTGTTCCTTATTCACAGGCCTTTTCTCCATTGACATAAAAAAAGTTCCCGATCACTTGCAGATGGATGTCATTGAAATTCAATGTCAGACTCACTTGAAACAAAAATTTAATGATGTTGGTTCATCTGAATTTTATAAGTACCTACCTGTCCAGTATGAAGAACTACGGAACTTTGCTTGCAAAGTGATATCAATGTTCATAAGTACCTATCAGTGCGAGCAATTATTTTCCTTGATGAAAGGAAATAAATCACCGACACGATCGCGATTGACTGACACACACTTGGATGCAGTACTGAAATTGATTTCAGCAGATAAATTTACTCCTCAAATAGATAACTTAATTAAAGATAAAAGGTGTCAGATTTCAGGGAAAAAATTGTAATTATTGCAACTTAACTTACCTACCTGTTTTGTTCAATTATTTACTTTTATTATGTAATTAAACTATTAAACGATTGCTGGACTATCTTTACTATACATTTTTTTTTGTTTGGCCGAGTCTTGCGGTGCGGCCCATTGATACTGTGATCATTTTAAAAATGGCCCGCTAAGTACTTTTAGTTTGACATGGCTGGTCTAATGGAATAGAGTTAAGTGTTTAGTGAACTGTTTGTGATGTTAACAGTGTTAAAAGTATATAAAACATTATTCAATCTCTTCATGATATTTAAAAATGTCATTAATATGAAAAATTCCTCTTAGTTTATTCTGTGCATCTATCAACACATAGCTGTTCAGTCCATTCTGGTTTTGAACTATGTATGGACCTTCAAACATTGGTTGTAATTTCTTACAACGGTTTTCTCTCAAATTCCCTTGTCTAAGTGAACGAATTAAAACTTTGTCTCCTTTTTGAAATGTGATTGGTTTTTTAATTGTTCGATTTTGTCTTCTGATATATTTTTCAGCTTTTCTTTGAATTCTTCTGTTCACCTTTTGCATGACTTGTTCTAACATATCTTGTGTACACTCAGAAATCCACTTTCTATTTCCTATATGACCAAACATTAAATATTCTGGTACTTCCTCTGTGTTTAAATTATGTGTATTATTTAAAAAATATTCCACTTCTTCGATATAATCCTGCCATGTGACCTGTTCACCTTGGCATAGTATCCTTAAATATTTTATAACTTCTTTTATATATCTTTCTGCAGGATTTGCTTGAGGATGTCTAATACTTGTAAAATGAATGTTGATCCCCTTTTTCTCACAAAATGTCTGAAATTTTTGATTGTTAAAATATGTAGCGTTATCTATTATGCAATTTCTAAATGGTCCTATTTCTTCGAAAAACTGATTAATATATAATTTCAATGTTTTAACATTTGTTCTTGAGCATGGATATAGTTTAATAAATTTTGTATATAAATCAACTATCACTAATATATGCTTGTTTCCTGTTGGACTGGGAACTAAATTTGAGATGAAATCCATGGCAACTGTATTTAGTTTTTCATAAGCAACATTGGATTTATATGTGTTCTGGTTTTTGAAATTCTTTTCTTTGTTTATTTGACATATTTGGCATTGTGTAGTAATTTCTTTTGCTATACTTATGTCATTCTTTGCAAAATAATTATCTCTAAATAACATCCATAGTTTTCTTGAACCAATATGCATGTAACTTTTATGTAAATCTTTCAATATCTTTCTTGCCAAAATTCTACTTATTACATACACTTCTAAGCCATTAATTATCTTATAAAACACCCCATCTTTCTTAAGGACTTTTTGTTTTTCATTCAAATTGATTTGATCTCTTATGATTTCTTCTTTAGAATATAATCCAGTGTTTTCTACCAACTGATTTAATCCAATTTTTATTGTTCGCTGCCTTTTTTGTGATGTATTTTCTAACCTTGACAAAGCATCTGCCACTATGTTGGATTTTCCAGAAATGTATTTGATTTCAAAACTGTATTCACTCAGTATTAGGCTCCAACGGTGTACTCGACTGTTTCCATATTTGTTATTTAATATAGATGTTAAAGCTTGGTTATCTGTTTCTATAGTAAATTCATTACCCAACAAATAAAATCTTAATTTTGTGACACAGTGTATGATACTAGCTAGTTCTAGTTCTGACACTGAATAACCTTTTTCATGTGGCTTTGTAATTCTTGATATGAATTGTATCGGGTATTCGACCCCATCATGTATTTGTAGTAATACCCCTGATAATCTTTCTATTGAGGCATCTGTTCTTAATATGAATGGCTTTGTATAGTCAGGATGGTATATTTTTAAATTTGACAGAAAAATGTTTTTGATTTCTTGGAATGCTAGTTCTCTTCGCTGGTCCCATTTCCATTTTACACCTTTCCTCAGTAGTTCAAGTAATGGAATTTCTTTTATACTTAGATCTGGTATCATCCTTTTATAATAATTAATTATTCCAATAAATCCTCTTAAAGTTCTTAAATTGTGTGGTGTTCTATATTCCTGAATAACCTGTGTCCGTTCTGGATCCATTTCAATTCCCTTAGTATTAAGTTTATAACCTACATATATTACTTCTTTTTGGAAAAATGTACATTTTTCTTGATTTATTTTTAGTCCAACTTTGTCTAATCTGTCGATTATTATTTTTAGGTGTTTCTCATGCTCTTCAGCAGTTTTAGAAAAAATTAATATATCATCAATGTAGTGAATTACAAATTGTTCATATTGATCCAAAATATCATGAAGACATCTACATAGAGCACTGCACGATGATTGAAGTCCAAATGGTACTACTTTGAATTGATATACTACTCCATCTATCTGAAATCCTGTATATTGTCTACTTTTCCTTTCTAGAGGTATTAACCAAAAACTATGCTGTAAATCGATTTTAGTGAAAAATGACATTCCTGTAATTCTTCCTAGTATTCCATCTATGCTCATTGGTGCTTCAAATTGCTTTTCAGTGATCTTGTTAATATTCCTTGCATCCAAACATAGCCTGATTTCACCTGATCTTTTACGTACTACCACTATAGGGTTAATGAAACGTGTATCTGCCTTCTCAATGATTCCATCTTCTAACATATTATTAATTGTTCTATTTACTTCTTCTCTGTATTTATATGGTATTGGGTACGATTTTGTTTTAAAATCTTTTTCTTCTTTTACTTTTATACTATGAATATAATTGTGTGCAATTCTATTTTCTTTATTAACAAGTCCCTTGTGTTGCTGCAATATGGAAACGACTATTGATTTATATTCTTCAGGGCAACTTAAAACTCTTATCATATCCTCTTCTTTACAAATAAAATTATTTTTCATTATGTAATCATTATTCCTTGCTTCCAGTTTTACGCACTCCGCCTCGTAGGCATCCATCTGCTTATTTCCATTCCTTAAATATTCATTACAATTATTCTTTACATTCTTTTGGGACATCTCCCTATCATCAAAATACATTTCTTCTTCATAAACATCATTACTTTCTTTTAATAATATCCTATCAATTCTTATTTCTTCTTCCTCCTCATCTTTTTGCATAAACTTAATTATTTGCCCTTCCAAAGTTACAACTTTTTCTTCAAAATCTATCTTCACTTTCTTCTTTTCCAATTCATCATTTCCCATTAATATATCAACACATAAATCCTTGACAATAAATCCTTGCATATTAATTTCTTTATTAAGAATATTAATTTTAAAATTGGCTAGTTTATCAATTTCACCCAACTTCTTATTATTTGCACCAACTATTTTAATTTTTGGAATCTTCATTATATCTGATAGTTTTAATGTATTAAAAATAAAATTTTCCGAGACTAAAGTACTTTCTGAACCAGTATCTATCATAACCTTAATCATTTTATTTTTGGCCATAGCATTTATATAAATTAAATTAATAGATTCAATAGTTTTATCTTCATCTAAAGAAATAAATTCAGAAGGTTTCTCATAATGACAATGACCACACTTGTAATTCAGAAAGTTTACTGCATAAAATTTGGATTGTTAAAATTATTCTCTAATTGTGTCTGACCATTTGGTTTTAATGTCCTGTGTCTTTCACTACTATGACTTCTACTCATATTTTCCTGCCTTGTACTATTTCGTTCTCTATCTTCGCAGCTTCTGTTCCTTCGTATATGTTATCAGCTTTAATGCATAATCTACCATATTAGATCTTAAATCAGGATTATACTTTCCAAAATAGAGAACTTCCCTAAATCTAGCTTGTTCTAATTCACCCCAATAATAATTTAAAAATTTATTTTCAAATGTTTGAAAATTGTCCGAATCATTCTCAACACAGGCAAACCAAGTTGCCGCATTATCACTTAATGTCATTCTAATATAATCATTAATATCATTAATATTATTCACTAATCTTAATTTATGTTTTAAACTATTTATGTATACTCTAGGGTGCAAATTTTTGATATTCCAATAGAATTTAATCCCAGTGTCATTTGTTAAATTTAAGTAAGGTCTCTCTATGTCTCTCAATTGTGAAATATCATCTATTCTCTGTTTCACATTTCTTATTTGATTAATATTTATTTGGATATTTTGTTGCATATCGTCCAATTTTTCTTCTGTTTTTCTCCTGTCTTCGTTCATTTTGACTTCTAAGTTATATTTATGCAACTCTATTTTCTGTTCTATATCTATCATATTATCTTGAATAATCCTATTTACTTCTGTTCTCTCATTTTCTATCCTTTTCTTATAGTCATGCCTTATATTTTTTATTTTATTTGCTAATCTGGAGCTAATCTAATAAATGGATTGCTAATCTAAATTTTCTCTGCAGCTTCAAGTTTTTTATCTATTTGTTTTTCTATTTGTTTTATGATTTTATTATTATTATCTTCTATTTTCTTTTCTAATTTTTTATAATTCTCTTCTATTTTTCTTTTTATGTCTTCTTTGACTTCTTTTGAATTCTCTTCCAACTTCTCTTCCATTTTTTCGAGTTCTCCTCCATTTTTTTCGTATTCTCTTCCATTGCCTTGTTCATCTGCATCATTATTGCCATCAGAGCTGCCATATTGACATATTCTCCTCTTTCTTGATTCATTTCTACTGTATCTTGTGGAACTTCGACTAAACTCTCCTCTTGTACAGCTTGTGTTTCTATTTCCACATCTTCTTCATTCTTTTTGTTTCTTGTAACTTTTTTTCCTTGATACATATTGAGACTTTACTTGTTCAAATTTAATTAAAAATAAAATCTATAATTCTTCTTTTTTTTATATAAAAATTAATTTAATTATATGAGAGCACTTATCTTCCCAAACTAATTTGATTGAATTATGAATTGAATTTGAAATTCTTACAATTATTAAATTATTAACAAAATTTGGTACTTTTCTATCACTGAACGCCTAAAGTTTTTCCAAAATTAAAGTTATTATCACCACTCGATATCTTCTTACTCAGACTTGGTTATCCAACAATCTTAATATGTTTCTTCTTACTTATCTCCACTCACCATGTAAATATATAAATTTAAATCCTTGTAATTTCCATATAATGTACTTTCAAATATACTGAATATTGTGGTTGTACTATTGAATGCTTACTTCAATGGATTAACTTCATACTGTCACTATATTACTGTAGTAATAATTAATCTCCAACTGTATTTGACTTAATTAATTCATTTAACTTAATCAGTGCCTTCTTCTAGCTAATCATCTCTTCATAACCTCATAAATTCTTCTTAATTCTCTTCACGAATCAACTCTAACTTAATAATAATCTGTACTTGACTTCCTCTAACTAACTCCACTAATTGATTCTCTTAACTGATTTAATTTCTTCTAACTAACTCCACTAACTGATACTAACTGATTAATAATCTTCTTGTAACTAAATTTTTGAATTCTAACTTTACTGACTCACTTTACTAACTGATTAATCAACTGTAACTAATCATAATCTGTAACTAACTGATTTAATTTCTTCTAACTAAACTCAATTAATAATCTTCTTGTAACTAAATCCTTGAAGTCTAACTTTACTGACTGATCTAACTGAACTAACTAACTAACTTTACTAACTGATTAATCAACTGTAACTAATCATAATCTGTAACTAACTGACTACTCCCGCTCCAAATTACATGGTTTATATATCTTTTTCATGGTTCCAGAATAATCTAGCAATAAATAAGGTTCGAATCGTTCTATTTTTTCTATCTGAACATTCTGGAATAAATGGAATGGTTTTTGTCTATGATGTATTATGCAAATAGTCTTGTTGACATTTCTAGAATTTTCTCTGGTCTACATGTACAATTTACTTGACTTTAGGCTCTCCAGATCAGAATTACACTATTATATGTAACTTAAACATTTATATGAAATATATTATTACTATTTTACATATGTAATTATATTTTAAATTAACATTCCCATTTAAATAAACTCCTTTTTGACTTTGACACTACAGTGTATATCTGGTTGCATATACATATGGCTCATATCATTATTTTTTTAATAATATTATCCAGTATATAACTTATAAATTATGTCTTTAATTACTATTTAAATAAATTTATTAATTAACAGTGTATATCTGGTTGTATATACACAAGGCTGACTTAAATATATCTAATATTAAATAAAATTAAAAGAAAACTTCTTAAACTTAATTCTTATGCTAATTTATTGTATTTCTGTTCTCATTACAACATATATATATATATATATATATATATATATATATATATATATATATATATATATATATATATATATATATATATTGTTATGATTGTTTATTTTGAGTTCAAACTTAGTTTATTGAGCCAATAAAAAAAGAATTATAACTTATTTGTTATCAAAAGTAAAATAATCCTTATATTACCTGTGTTCGATGGATTCAAAAGATTTTCTAGTTGTCTTTTATCGGGATAGAGAAGAAAAGGATAAGAATACAAATATATTAGATTACAAAAATTTACGTTTCTTTATTTTATATGAACGAATAAAACAATTATTAAATTCTGTCGTTATCTTATCAATCAGCATACAAGAAAATAAATCAAATTATTATGATAATAAGATTATAAAGCTACATTCATTTATATTACGTGAAAAACCAATTTTGATCTAAATTGATCCTTCACTGTGAAGGATCAAAATTGATCCTTCGCAGATATAAAATTCAATTGTACAAACACTTACAGTTTATTTTCTTCTTGAGTTGTATGTTGGAACATACCCAGAAAAGTCCAGTCTCCTCAAATATGCGATCTCCCCTCTTTGGCACCTCGGCTCCTTCTTTACGTCTCTGCAAACCTCCTTCAGACTACACAAAAAACACCTGATTCACTTCTCCAAACTCCGCTACTTATTTATGACACCAGGACCTCCTTTTGTCAACTTGCTGCCGTAAGAATACTTTCACATATACTTTATAAAATGCCCACGGTAGATACAAGGACCTCTTTTAATCCACTTGTTATAACAATAATGGAATTTGTTTCTGGTGAAACAATGTAACAGGAAATGTGAGAGTAGGGAAATGTAACAAAAATGAGGAATGTGTAGCAAAAATGTGCAGTGTAGCAATAGGGTAAACTCTAAAATGTACCTTGATACACCAACGAACTAATATGTGGAATAACAGAAGATGGAAGGGATTAGATAGAAATAAATTATGTGAAAGAAATAAATAAAGGGTAAATATGAATTTTAAAATATAATAAAATTAATGCTGGCTAGCGACTATGCAGGAGAATGACCACTTGACACTCAAAGAGGGATTCGGCCAATTTGCATGCCCTACAGAGACCGTAAGATGTAAGAATTAATGACTAGAAACTACCAAGAAATAAACAGATGAAAGATAAAGTTGCTCTACTGAATGTTTGGGCGCCAGGAAGTTAAATGTTTTCTTCCGAGATATCTTGTATTGCTGAAATATAAAAAGTTGGGTACTAATTGAAATATTAAATTTTTAACCACAACTTTAATAATTACCCAAAACTTATGTACAGACTATGTTAAATACTTATCTATGACCCACCACCTCTTATGTACAATTAACTTATCTATATTTACAATAAAATCCCTGAATATAATTATAAAACAATTTCCCCCCTAATATACCTCTTAATTTTAAATTCTGACAAAGGTTATACTCAATAATTATGTATAAATAATAAATATAAAAAATACTACTCACTAATAATTTAGTTTTCGTTAATTAAATGTCGGTCAGATAGCTCAGCGGGCTGTGCGGCTGCCTCTCATTCGCTTCACTGTCGAATGGTTCAGTGGATGTGGGTCGAGCCCCAGCTCGGTGTACGGAAAACAAAAAGTCTAACGCAGCAGTTTAAAATTCTAGATGAATCTGCCGCTTAGACTAGGATATGCTGGGATCTGATCGGCCTATGGTGGAGCAGTACGGCAAGAGATAAGGGCTTGCGGCTCGGTGATACACCTCCATAGATCCCTACCGGACGGGCGTAACGCCTAAAAAACCGGATATATATATATATATATATATATATATATATATATATATATATATATATATATATATATATATATAATTAAATGTTTAAATTTTCAAATGAAACTCTTCGGATATGTGTGCACACAATAACCTAACAAAGAGAGATTCAAGGGAGAGTTATGATCTCATCCCTTGGTAGACAATAAATGATTTAATTGATTCATAATGATTATTGTTTTAGAAAAGTGAAGGTAATTATTATTAATGATATATAGATTGAAATTAAAGTGAACTAAAGATAAACCTTGAAGAGGATGTAGAAATTATTTAAAATATTTGAATAGAAAATAAAAAAAAATAAAAATCAGTTCTTCCTGCCGGTTTCTGTAGGTTTCCCTGGAGATGATCCGGTGAAGAACTAGGTGCAGGTGGGTATTACTCCAAACCTGGATTCCATATTAGGAGGTACGTTTAAATTAAGTCCTTCAAATTCTTAACTCCCTAAACTTAAAAATTTTTCTTCCCCTTGTCCCAATAAATATTCCCCCATAAAACAAACTGAAAAGGTTTTTCTTCCCTGACTTGTCACTGGATTCCGGAAGTAGGCTAAAAAGAACAGTTGTGTTACTCCAAGTCTTTTGTTCATACAAAAAGGTAAGGAAAAACCAAGAAAGGTCAACAAATTGAAATAAAAACTGTTAATGGGTTTCAGTAAATAACGACCTTGGGATAGTATGACAATGATATTATAGGATATATTAAATAGATAGTTTTACGGAAGGCATGATCTGTATATATTATAGAATAGAAAAAAAAAGAAATATTAGCCGGTTTAAACGGTATGGAATTGAAATAGATAATTGTTTGCTTTCATCCTTGGAAAGAAATAAAATTTGAAATAATTATAAAATCTAATACTTGTAATGTATTTAGGTATTAATGAAATAAAGTAAAATGGGACATATATAAGATGTGTGAAATATCTATCGAGAAAGGATTAAAATTGATTTGAATTTCACTAACAATGGCGGATGATCTGACATGTTTTTTCATATAATTTATTTATAAATTCATCTTACCGGCTGAGGTGGTCCAAAACTTAAAGTATTTCCCAAAAACAACAAAGTAACAAAATGGCTTCCTTCTAAAATAACAGCTTCTTCGTAAAAAAAATAAAATAAACTTAAACCAGATTCATGAAAATG